AGAAAAAGAATGAACTATTTGAAATTGCTGAATTGTAAACTATGTGACTAAATATGAAATATGAAATATGAAATATGAAATGAATATTATCGACATTCAGAAAAACTTAATATGTTACAAATAGATACATCTTCTTTCTTTGATTCTTTATATAAAAACAAATATAAAAGAAAAACATGGTATTAATGAACTATGATATGAGAACAAAGAATGAAAGGTATATAAATACTTGTGCTTGTTCACATGAGGAATGCATTATTACTTTTAATTAAATAATGTAAAGCAGTGAAATATTCTATATTCGGTTCTACATTAATTAATTGTACTTTAATACGTCAGACCCAGAGTTATATAGGAACCTCATAATTTTATGAAACGTAAAATGTAGAGAAATCATGTCCAATGGCTAGCAGTATTAAAATGTAGTTTTATTCAGAATATTACTCATACATCGTTACTCGATGCAAGTTTATGTAACGTTTTTAGTATTGAAATTTAGTTTTTAGTAAGTGAAGTATACTTATATAATTTCAAATGCTTAAAAATTAAATATATTGTCTTCAAACTAACAACATACATATTCAAACATTAATACTAGACACATCACACAGGTATTTCAGAGTAAAGAAATTTTGACACGAGAATCTTAGAGTTCAAACAACAAAATATCCTGAGACATGATAAAATTCGTAACGCAATATTTAGCTATACCTAACATCCAGTTTACATAGCTCCTACTACGGAGCGGAGCATCGATATTAGCGAACCCTTTCGTTGGGAAATGATCGAAAAGTTTCGAAGCAATCAGTCATCGAGCAGAGCCGTCGTTTAACCAAGTTTGGAGCTTTCCTTTAATCAACGCTTTATTTATAGTTTACGCGTGATTGACTAGCGCGGTGCTCGTTTAAGTTACGAGTCCTCGTCGGATATCTGCCGAAGTCAGCTATGAAACAGTTCGCTAACGAAGCCCCCAGAAGCAAGAAAATTTATCCTATAAGTCCGACGGCTCAAGTATTTAACCACGAGCGACGCTAACTTCGTCGGCGATCGTTTGTCGTAATCGAATAGAAATATCGAGAGCACCGAAGCTGATCCAAGATCAAGTTCGATCGTCCGGCAAGTCCGGCAAGTTGCGCAGTAATTCTCAGTAGATTAGAGACGCGGAGAAACTAATTTATGGGGGTCGAAATTCTGCTTGCTTGGCGTGCTGAATATACATATATATATATACATATATGATATATATGGACGTAGATGTGCACCTATATAATACGTATGTACGAAATGTACATATAAACATGGACGTAGATGTGCACCTATATAATACGTATGTACGAAATGTACATATAAACATGCACACGTTTACATAGCCCGTCGCAAAACTAGCAGAACTTCTTAAGAATAGAAAAAACTATTAGTGCTAAATGCTAAATATATTTTTTTCTTCGCTGTAACGAGTATTATAAAATGTGTAAGTTTTAAGAATTTTAAGTTCTTGTAATCGTTGTGTCATTGTCGTTATCTAATGTTCAGAAATTTCAGAGCAAATTGTAGAAGAAAAGGGAAGAAGAATTCTTTTTGCGTAATAGTCAAAACCAGAACATTTCGAATCATCACATATATTAGAACTCAATTACAACTGGTGGATAATTTAATTAAAACTGAACTAGAACTCGTAGACAACTCAATCTGAACTCGGCTGAAACTCGTAGAGAATGCCGTTACAAGTGAACTGGAACATGCATAGAACTCAATAGAAGTTAAAGAGTACAGAACTGGGTAAAAAATTATATATATATAATTTTAAATTATATTGTTTATCTTTTCGAGCAGGAGCAGTAGACGCGGAACATTAAATTATATTTAATATTTCGGAACCCAGTGAAATTAGAAATATGAGATGCGTCGGACATGGTGGAACTAATTGTCAGTAAACTTCCTCGTCCCATTCTAAGTACTCTATTCAATCATTCTATTCTAAGCAGGATTATGCCAGCGCAGTCTAAGACAAAGACGTCTTAAGCGTACAGATCAGGCTCAAGTAGCTCGAGTTTTCCTTACGTAAACGGAATACAATTTCCATTAAATACACCTACTTATTCAAAGTCGGGTTAAGTACTCCACACGCGTTTCGATGAAACTTTCGTTTCAATTAAAAATAAGAAGTCAAACAAAATATATAAAGAAGCACTTATTAATTTTAACACTAAACGTACCGACACTTTGTACACACCCATTCCTACAGTGGCCAGCCAAATGATCAGTCTTTTACTCTTATATGAGGCAACGTACTTTTAACTTTTGCATTATATGTATACATAGAAAGTTGTGTTTTGAAGTTTATTCGTAACATATATTTCTCCTTTATGCCGCTTTCTTACCTTAACTTCATACAGAAAATTCAGAAACTATATCAAAATTTTTTAATTTTCATCGGATAGAAGATAAAACGCCCTTAAACGAATTTTGTTCCAAATCGATACCGCAGTTAATTCCAGAGAAAACAATTATTTACGAAAAAATACTGGTATAGTAATTACGCAAACATTCTGTATAAATATTTAAATTCATTTTCAATTAACCAAACAATTTATGATCCAGTTTTATCGCACACCAGTCGTACGATCAATAGGAATTACTGAAACTTCATTGGGTATATAGTGTCAAAGTAAATGTGAAAATGAACATAGAAGATAGCAAAAATTATAGTAAGTGATATAATCATTAGGTAGATGATGTAATGCCCTTTAAAACGAGCGTTCGAACAAGTCGATAGCTTTATTAGTTCCAGCGATATGAAGACTTTAGTTACAAGTCGATGCGGTGGCTAGTTTCGGAGATATAAGGGTTCGAACGTTTGTTTACGTTTCATTGAGATCAATGAACTCGCGCGCGCGACAATAGTAAACAGTGCGTAGTAAATTCTTGGAAATAATACGACTTCTTGGTCTCTTCTGGTGTCTTGACTTACGCGCGAGAGAGAGGCCCGACGTGACGCGTCAGACGGAGACAGAGATAGTCAAATTAAGAAAAATACCTTTATACATAAATTACGATATCTCGAAAACGGAAAGCCGGATCGTCAAAAATCAAAAACCATTTTAAAGGGGAAGGTTTACCGCTTTCAACGATGGTTCATTATGCAGAAAACAGTAGTAGTTTCGGAATTGCACGCGTCTAAAACTTTAGTATTTTTAATACGCCTTAATAGGCTATTGCTCGCGAAATCCATTTTAAAAGGGAGGCTTTGCCGCTTCCAACAGTGCCTCAATTATGAAGAAAGCACTAGTAGTTTTGGAATTGTACATGTGTAGTTTATCTATTTTTAGTACGTATTGTTAGACTGTTCTAAGACGGATAGAAAGATAATGGAATTTTAAAAATTACACTGGTCGTGGTAGGCAAGGCAGACTACATATTTTTCTTAGAAAACAAACAATACGAATAGAAGTGAACATTGAACAATTTATTGTACGTATACTATAAGAAAAGTCGTGAAGTTACACGGAACTAAAATAACATTGTATGTTAGAAATTCTAAACGAAATTTTAAAAACAGTCACTTGACCGGTCGTGGTAGGTTTAGTGTTAAAAATGCCTTCCACTGAACTAACCACAATTAATGATCATGAAAACATTAAAATAAAAACGTGATAATACAGGAGAATATTATATCGTTTGCTTAACGTGCTACGGACAGGTTTATATAAAACAATCGTATTAAATGGAACGCCTTAACAAGATAGAAAGCGTGCGTGCCGAGAAAGTAGCTAACCTCTCGCCTTATTTCGTGAGAACTGCACCTCAACTCCTTTGTAATCCCAGCACGCGAATCGAATTTAAGAAAGCCAATGGCGTAAAGTTCGCGAAGCCGCCAGTAAAGTTTCGGTTGGATTAGCGATACACTACGTGATCATTGCTTGAACAAATCGTTGGAAAAGTATTATCATACCGTTTCGTAGTTACTTTAACATGCAAAATAACTGACGTCAGCAATTTGACCCTACGTTGTAGCAACGGTCAAGGTGAAAAGCTTCGGAAGCTGAATCCACGAACTCCGATTCGCAAAGAGCAACATCTAACGTTCGAAGAGGTAGAACTCGATATTTAACCCTTTGCGGTCGTATTAAGTTTATACTTGTGAAATATCTGTGTGCACTGTTGAACTCTGTGTATTTCTGAAGTTTGTCCACTTAGTATAATACAAGAAATCAGTATGGTTCTTTGCTGTGGTGGCTGAGAGCAAATATACGCGATTTCGCCTTCGGTTCGGTAATTCGTTTCCATCCGAAAGAACAGAAAAGCAGCGATCATTTCGCCCGTTATCTGCGTTGCCCGCATGCGACTCGGCGATCTCGTAAGAAGAATATACCTGTAAGTGAGAATAGGGGCATCGGGGAAGAACTAGTCGTTCCGTTTCCCAGGAGGGGGGAGGGAGCGGATTTCGCGAGGGCCGGTCGATGGTTTCCCTCGCACCTCAGAAATCCTTCGCGCGAGTCGAGTTTAAGAAGGCTGAGGAGAGAGTCAGCCAGTCAGTCAAGCATGCAGTCAGTCAGCCAGTCGTCAACGGCAGTAGTTCGTGAAATCGCAGGATACTGGCTCCAACGCGTTACTACGCCGTCTGAGGACGCAAGCGCACTTGCGTACCTTATCGAGTTCGAGAGCAAAAGCGACGGCGTTAGTGGTGGAAGGGTGGGGTACTACTATAGACCATGCATAGGAATGGTGGGGAGGGAACGAGGAAAAGAGAGGAGGATACGGTCGCAGGGTGGAGGGTTGTACGCGTCGGCGGCTACGGGGGTTGATAAGAGACAGAGAGAGAACTAGAAGAGCAGAGGAGAGGAGCGGTGGATGGTGGACGAGGAGGAGGGAGGCGGGTGCAGCTACGAGTCGGGCGCCGCAGTGTTTGTCAGTCCTTCGTATGGACATCACGTCTAACGCGGCTGATAGTCTTAACCGCGCGCACTGGCATTCGTGTATACGCGTAAGTTTTGGCGGCATACATCATACCTGGTCCAGGACGTGCCGCGACGTCAAGTATTCACCGTCGATGAGCCACCGGACGTGCTTAGGCTCGGCTACGATGCAGACGTCTCGGCCTGCCCTCGTCTCCGCGAGTAATTCGTGGATTATTCAGCGGTCAGAGATGTGAAAACACCGTGTTGGAAGCGATGTGGCTTCCGTTGATACTGCTCGCCTTGATGGCGAGCGGTTCCGCGTGTCCAGATTTATGCGAGTGCCATCAGAGTGCCGTCGAAAGAGACTCACCGGCTGTTGTGCGCGTCAAGTGCCGCGGCCGCGTACCGGAATTGTCAGAATTGTCGTTTAAAACGAAAAGCCTGTCGCTGAATGGGGTCGAGGAGTACGATGTAATCGGTTTCTTCGACGAACTGGAGGTGTCATGTTCGAACGATTTCGATGTGATCGGTACGTTGAACGAGCTCGACGCGAACGATACGGTCCACGAGTCGGAGAACAATTCGACGAATCTCCCTTACCTCGACGAATTGTCCGTGACGAATTGTTCGTTGGTGTTTTTTAACGTATCGTGGTACGGTTTCGAGCGCGTGAGAACACTGAACCTGTCATGCAACAATCTGGCGCAGTTGGACGGCCTGCTGGTTGGCCGTACGACGAATATGACCGAGCTGACGCGCTTCGACTTGTCCGACAACTCGCTGACGGACGTGGGTGCCGGAGCTTTTAGGACGCTTGCGAAATTGGTGAGGTTGAGTTTGCGTAGAAACGCGATATCCGGCGTGCATCCGGATGCCTTTCGGGGATTGGATCGTTTGGAATTTCTCGATCTGTCCGATAACAGGCTGGCGAAATTGCCGGACAACGCGTTGACGCCACTCTATTCGTTGCAAAAGTTGGACCTGAGCGGAAATCAGCTGCAAGTTTTGGGCGCCAGGTGGTTCGAGAATCTCAACCGATTGCGGGAACTCGATGTTTCGAGGAACGGTTTGGCGCGGGCGGCATCGGGAACTTTGCAACCGCTTCCGGGATTGTCGGTGCTAAAACTGTCCGAGAACCCTCTCGAAGAAAGAGACGTCTCGCTGCTGTTGGGCACCGGTAGACGTTTGGAAACTGTGGACGCGTCTCGCACGGGTTTGGCGAGAGTGCCAGCTGCGCTTACAAGATCCGTGAGAGCGCTCAGACTGGCCGGGAATAAGTTAACCACCATTCGCGGCGGAGATCTAGACAGCTATCCTCTGTTGCGGATATTGGACATCTCGGACAATCGACTGGTAGACATCGAAGACGATGCTCTCGGACGTCTGGAAGTTCTTGAGCAATTAGACATTTCCGGGAACGTCCTCGTCAAGGTACCCGGTAGCCTTCCTAGCAGCCTGACGAACTTAAAACTCCAACGAAACGCGATAACGTCTCTGAAGATAAATGATCTTCAAGGGCTGTTCAATCTGAAATCTCTAACGCTGAACGACAACGACATAAACGAGATCGAAGTAGGAGCGCTCGGTCAATTACCGGTGCTCGAAGAACTCGATCTGTCCGATAATCCTATTAAAACGTTACCGGCTAATACACTAAGTGGACCAAGTAATCTCGCCAAGCTTCGTATGTCGGGATTAACTTCGCTGGAACGGAAGCAAGAGGAACAAAGTGACATGGCGTTTCCAGTACCGACTCCCGAAAGGCTCGTGTACCTCGACATATCGAAGAGCCCGATCCTGGCCAGGCAGCTTTTGGCGGACGACGCCGCGCTATCAGCTTGCAAAAGTTTGATCGAGTTGAATATCTCCGAGACGAACATCACCAAGCTCAGATTCGATCTGCCTTACATGCTCCCGCAGCTGCGTGTCATGGATCTCAGCAGAAACAACTGGAACTGCACGGAGGATCTTTATTGGCTCGGCGAGTGGCTGCTGCAACACGAACAACTAAACAAAGGTATCCAAGCGGGTCAATGCGCTGGCCCGCAGGAATGGACAGGCTCGTTTCTCTACGAACTGCCATCGCCGCCGAGCCCTCTTCCCACGATCGTGCCAACCACAGAAACTACCGTTTCCGTTACGTCGTCGATCCCACCAACGACGAGACTCGTGTCTCGTTTGAACGAACCAAATCTGTCTTCCAACGTTACCGATACCAACGCATCCGACGACCAAAGAGATATTAAAACGAAAACAGCATCGACGTTGCCGGTCCCCAGCAACGTGACGCGTTTCTACGAGGCGCCTACGTCGTTCAGGAACGTCACCTCGAGACAGAAGGGACGCGGTTTCGACAAGAAAACGACGAAAGTCGATCAGACCGCGGAGCCTAAAAACTTAATTACCGGGCCGTCGTATCGTAAAACGAGCGAAGGGAAATCGTCAATTATAGAGGCGGAGGGTGATTCGAATTCACGAACTTTTGACAACCGTGTGGACGGGAAAAGTGAGAAGAGCAGAAGACTGAACGAACTTGCTTCGTTGATGCTGTCGAAACTCGCGTTGCAGAAGGAGGAGAGGGAGAAAAAGACGGTCGAGAAATACTCGAAGAGACTGAATAATCTGACTAAAGAAAACTTGGTACTAAGGAATACCCTTGATCGGAACACGATGGAAGAGGAATCGAACGGTTCGGCGACTAATTCCGACGCGAGGACCTCGGAGGCTTTGTCCGCCGGCGCTCACCCCGGAATGTTGGTGTTGGCTGGCGCTGTTCTAGGCGCGGCGGCCGCCCTGACCGTAGTTTTGTCCCGACGAGCCACGCTGCGACGGAGGGACAGGTATCATCGTCACGAGAACATCGAAGTTCACACGCTCACCCCGACCGCTGAACTTTGGTGACCAGAGTCGGAATACGCCAGACTGTTCGAGAGAGACAGGCGACTAGACGCGGAGGATCGCGAGAAACGCGTCCAAACGTCATCGATATTATCCAAACGACTGTGGAGGACTCGACTGCTGGACACCTTCAGAAAGACACCAAAGTAGCCCTGTGTTATTCGTAATAACAGACGGACCGAAGATTCGGAAATACAAAGCTTGATAGTCGAAGAAGCGACTTACGCAACAAATCGTTCGGCAATAACATAGTACAAACTCGACTCGAGTGAACAGCGAGGAACAATGAGAAGTTGCGATGTACACTGCTCGAACAGATTATCTTACTTTTCCGCGAGAAACCCGAAGTAGTTTCCGGTACGACCATCAGACTCAGCTTTGTCCGTCGGGAAATACCGAGCACACGAGAAAGTTCAGCGAAGGAAGCTGTTCGGAGAAACCCCACGGAGTCCGCAGAACATCCCTTGATGCGAATCTTGGCCGAACGATGAACTTGTCGGAGTCGAAGTTTGGTTACGTTAACAAGGGGGAGGGGGAAGAAGAAAAAACATAATACTGAATCTGATCGAGGAACCGAAACGAACGATATTTATTTAAAAGTACTCGAAACGGGGGAGGACGAGCAATCCGAGTTCGTCGGGTCTTCCGTGGACATCTTTCCGGCGTGGAGGACGAAGAAGGAAAAGACAGACTGCAAAGGTGGCAATAATTAAGAAGCAGTTGCTCCCGGCTCGACCTCGGGAGATCAAAACGTTAAATAGCACATAGTGACAATAATAATTGTAACGTGTCGCGTTTCCGCGTTGGACTTTTCGTCGCACGTTCGGGACGCTTCCGTGACTGGGTGGGAAGTGCAGGTGCGACGAAAAATGCGGCGAGAAAGGGCGTTCAGGAAAGGAAGGTTCGATAAGGGAAGACGGGGGAGGAAAGAAATCGGAGAGACGGTGGGAACGTGCTGGCGTGAAATTCGCGGTGGCGAATTGTACGTTTGAATGACAGTGCGAGACGGGAAACGAGAGCGATTGCTGGCCGAACTTTTATCGAACGTTGTGAGATCGAGCGAGAGAAGAAAGCGTGAGTGTACGAAAGAGTAAGTGAATGGAGGGTGTGAGAAAGCATACGAGGAACGAGCAATGTGAGCGTGAGAGAAAGAGCGAATGAGAGAGGATGAGAGAGAAATAGAGAGAGAGAGTGAGAGAGAGAGGGTGAGTACGAGAGAAATGATCGCGAGGTGGAAACCGCTCTCAACGGCGGCAAAACCGAGTGTACAGAAACATAGCTTCCGAACTTAATTCTAGCGACTTGGCGAGTTGCTAAGATTCCTCGATAAAAAAAAAAGAGAAAACGAACAAAAAAGGGGGGAAACGGAGGATAAGAGCGGGAGAGAAAAGATAAGAAATAACGAAGAGGCTAGACATTATCTTTCTTAAAATAACCAGTGTCAAAGTACCGCTATGATAATAAACCGTCGTACAAAGATGCAATATTCTGGATTCTTTCTTTTGATCGCCCTCCATTGTTCTATCATCCCACTTTGTCAAGTATCCGGGCGTTAAATTATAGATAAGCCTTCGTGAGAAGCCCACGATCGTACCCGTTTTGAAATAAATAAAAATTAGTAGGACTTAGAGAATCGATCGTGACTTAGATTTATCATTTTGCAATCATAGAAAAGCCATATTATCATCGCTTTGAAGGAAAATAATTTTCTCCGAAGAACAGTTGCATGGATTTCTGCGCCAGATATATAGTAAAGGTAAGTAAATCATATAATATTTCTTTAGCGAATTACTTCAGTTTTTATGTATTATTTCTCGAGTAAATATTTTGTTTGTCAGAAATTTCACTCCAATGCCTGACATGTTGAAAAATTTCATTCTTCATTTTATGGTTCGTTGTTAATATTTATTAATTTCCAATTGATTTCTTACAGGAGACTGGCTGCATGTTTCGTTGTTACATCATTTAATTGTTACTGTTACACTGCTGCTACTAAAATTTTAGATACGTTTATCGCGATAATGAAATAATCGGGTCTCGGTGCCACGATCGCATCAATTGCAAATTGCAAAGCAAATTTCCGAAGGCAAACAATTTTTCTGGCTGTCAATGCGTTAGTAAATATAGGCGCGAAATAAGATGACGAGGGAGGAAGAGAAATCAGAGCTGTCAGAAAAAAAGACCGACAGCTGTCTGGAAAGCTTGAACCTTTCGAGATAAGACGATGTCTGCTTCGATTCGAGATACAACGATTTCACGCCTTCAGTCAATTATTGAACAAACAGATTTCCCCACATCCGCTGAGCACATTCGACGCTGTCTTATTTTTTCTGGCGTGCGCTCCGGATAGAAATTGGAATTCGAGATTTAAAATATTCTGAAATATGATTGAAATATGGCTGAGGGAAAACCGAAATATTTTGTACACGTTTTACAGACTACTACATTTATCGTTTATTTTCGTGCAAAATTTGAAACGTCATATTTCAAATTACTCATAAATCATTAACAAAAGTACATATTAATAATAGATAATTTAACATTGCCATGGTAAAAATCTAATAAACACAATTTATTGACTACAGCGTATATCATACAGAACTGCAATTAATATATAATTGATTTCCTGGACATAATTTGACCATTAACATTGATTCATTACTTTTATTCGAACGAAAATTCATCTCCTATAATGGAAATTTCCTAAACGGAAATGTATCGCGACATAATTCACGTAAGAATTATTTATGGCATAGAAACATTCGCGTGACAGTAAATTTCTTGTTCATTATCAGATAACAAACTAATGTTGCTGAAATATGTAATTTAAACTTGGTCGTACAAATACTCGTTATAAATACATTAAAGATTGTTATCGTCAAAGAATTCACAAAGAATTACTCAAATATTAATTAAGAGCAATGCAAATTAACAGTTCTCCATAATATCTTATGTTTGTTGGATTATTTACACAGTAAACTTTATTTTTTAGTTTTCCCAAGTTACTGCAGAGATCCATTTCATAAATTACATTATCACTGACCTAATTATATTCGGCGCAACGATACCATGGCATGATAATTCAATTTACAAATTTTATTTCGACCATCGTATTATAGCAATTTTCACTTATCGAATTATTAAACCATCGTGAATTCGCTCTATATCCAAAGAGAATTTCATTCATTAACTTAGATAAATGGCGCGTAAAAATAATAGGAAACGAATAAGTATCGGATTGAAAATAATGCTATTGAAACAGTTAATTCGTAGTATTGTTTCATTTTCTATTAATCAACGTTTTAAACATACTTTATAAAAGTGATGGAAGAACAGATTAGAATTTTCTGCGAATGAATAAATTTAAATATTAAATTCAATTTCTCGAATTTCCTCGTGTCAAGACCGAATAAGTCTAATTCCCTCACAACGGGATTTTAATGTATTTTGATTGTTTTTTTTTCAGCGTTTCGCATATTGAAAAGTGTCTCTGTGTTCATTTGAAATAGTTTCCATATTTTCAGGGAAAAATTCAAACGTGAGTGTAAAAAACGTATTTCTAAAGACATCTAAGTGAATAACATTTTTCCTTTTTGTTGCTCTAAGAACTTTCGACACACGTTTAAATACGTTTTCAATTTCTTTCGTATTCTTTCAACCCCACTTAGCTGTAATTCGGTGTTGTTAAAAACCATCGTCGTGTACGGTCTAGGGAAGACGACTCCCAAGGGAAAGCACGTTTTAAATACTCGAATCCATCCCCTCTCTATTCATTACCCTCATAACATTTTTTTATTATCCCCGGCCTTACATAAAGCAGAAATAAAAAGATTTTCCGCCTGTCAACTAAAACTGAATTTACGACGTTCTCGTTACCGGTGATATTCTCTGTCTTCGGAGGCCATAGTTTTACCCGGCAGTGGCTGTTTGTCGCTCGACTATCCCACTCGCATAAAAACGAACAAAACTTTGCTCAGTCTGAACTCCAGTTAGAATACCTACGACTCCTAAGGCCGGCACAAATGTTCCAAGAGTAAGCGGAATACCGAATTTTTTTTTAAACAAAGTTTTCATACTCACGTACGTTTCGTTCTCGTTTACCGCGTGGGCGGGTGAAACTGAAAAGCATTTGTTTCCATTATGCGGCGAAGTTGCCTTGAAAGTAATTTTTTATGAATCGATGAATAGCTCCACTGGTCGAGTGCAGATGTTGAAATTATAATTCGATGGAATTAGACGCGGTAACTGTTGGGATTTATATGAAACCGTCATTGAAACTTTATTACACAGAAGTGGTGAGAACATTATTTAAAATACAATAAATGAAACTAAGATGACATAAATATTTCAACATTTATTTTTGGCAGATTTAAAAACACGTTTTCGTAAAATCTATCGACTGAGACTTTTTACAAAGTATTTAATAACTGAACCATTTTAATTCAGTAACAAAACACTAGTAAAAAATCCTCGCCTCGCTGGTAGTTCGTAACATTTGAACGAAGGAATGATTCGACCCCATCTTTTCGTTCGGGATCGCGCGTCGTTTATTTGGAACAGTTCTCTGTAAAAACGAATTGTAGCAATAGAACGACGGAATACGTGGAAGAACGCTAGACACTTTCAATTCGCCGTCCCGACATTCCTCCGCTGGCTTTGGGTCCATAAATTTCGATTTGCAAGAAATTACAAGAGGGGGAAACACGGGCAAAGCGAGACGAAGGAAAAGTTTAATTTTCCTTGTCTTAATCTCAGTAATTTCATCCCGGTGGCCTCAGAGATGTTCCGGTCTCCGCAACGCAATGTTAATCGGGTTATTCACGGCTCCACCTACAAAAGCGATAAGCAGAAAACATGCTTACCTCCCCTTCCTGAAGAATCAGATAACGTCACAAGCGAATATTAAAGGTCGGCGGAAGGATGAGAGTGAAGGGTGGGCCCATGGCTGGAGTTATAAAATCACGAGACTTTGAAGCAACGTAAATATTACTACATGAATAATTCGCGGCGAGCGTTTCCTGGTCTCGTAGCCCGCGGCTGAATTTCCTGGAACATGGTAACGAGACCGCAACGGGGAAAAACGATATTTAGGAGGGCCGGAAAAGCGGGCGGCACAGAACACAGCGATCCCGGGGTGAAAGGGAGAACGACGAGCGAGAAACGGTTCCTTAAGCCCTTGTTTAAATTTCCTATGGAATAATCCTTCGCTGGAGTGCAACTAGGAAATTTAATCACCGTATAGCAGCTCTCGGTTCACCCCGGGCTACGGAACTAGCAAATTCAGTAACATCTTGCAGAAGTTCGTTATCCCTACCCCGTGGGTCGCGTTCGTCTCGGGTTTACCCAGATGTCGGGTGCTATTTTGTAATATTGACTTCGTCGATGAAAAACAGAAACCGGTTTTGAATTTGTACGCATCCTCCTCCGCTTTGCAACTGCTCTTTTCGCGTTTCAATATTGAGACAGCGGATTGGATTCAGTTGTCGCCAAGATTTCCGATACGCCTCGTTAAAGGTAGCCAACTTTCGCAATCTTCAAAAACAGCCCTTCAGATTTTATATATTACAACTACGTCGAGCACGATCTTCTTTAAATATCTGTATCTAGGTATTAAACCCTTGACGCACCATTTAATTACCAGTAATTTTTCGAACGTACACTATTTAATTTTGTTTAAATTTGTTCAAGGAATGGCCACGGAAAAGACTAGATTCGTTTTACGAATATAATATTACGTGAGTCTCGTAACATGACGATTTCAAGTAACTCATAACAATTGTTTGTTGTATAAAAAAGTGTTTCAGATAAAAGTTGCATATGGCCATGAAAAAGGAGAGATTCGTTTGACGAATATAATATTACGTGAGTCTCGTAACATGACGATTTCAAGTAACTCATAATTTTTTTCATTATTTGTGGTACAAAAAAGTGTTACAGATAAAAATTGCATGGTTTTTAGAGGTACATACAGGGTGTTCGGCCACCTCTAGCAAAAATTTTAATGAGCGATAGTAGAGGCCAAAATAAGACGAAAATCAAGAATACCAATTTGTTGATGGAAGCTTCGTTAAAAAGTTATTAACGTTTAAAGTGCCGCCCTTACTGAATTTTTTTCTCGAAAATGCGCAAGATTTCGGGGGTATGTCTATTCACCAAAAATGACTGTAATTGAACCCTACAACCGAAAATAATTTTTCCACGACGATTTCCAAATTTTTTTTCGCCGAAAAATTTCAGCACCTACTCGATTTTTTTTCTCGAAAGTAGATAGGATTTCGGAGGTATGTGTACTCACCAAAAATGATTGTAGTTGACCCCCGCAACCGAAAATAATTTTTCCAGAACGATTTGAAATTTTTGAATTTAATTGTTAATAACTTTTTAACGAAGCTTCCATCAACAA